CTACAGTAATTTAATAAATTACTTATCTAGTCTTTTTTTACATCCTACACAACAATGCAAAGCTTTTCTTTCCCTGTGTGGTTAGTAATGGTGATGTTCATTATGTCAAAATAAGGAAAAAGAGGTCTGCAGTACATTATGTTCTTGCAAAAACATATTTGGCACCTTCAGGTAGGTAAAATCAGGTTATAGCATACGGCAACAAAGACCTCATTAGAGAATAAAACCAAAAACATGTATCAAAAAATCATACCAGCATTTTACTGTATCTGAGTATAAACCCCAGCATCATCTATAGATTTGCTGTAGAGCCAAAATTCCAGAAGCAGTAATCTCCTAAAAATCATTTTGAACACCTATGTGAAATATATGTGAAAGGGGAAAGCACAATAACAAAGGTAATGACAAATACTTTACTTTGACTAAACTATATCTTCTTTTAGATGTTTACTGCATAATCAGACATGTCCAGCAGACTTCATTATATCCAAAAGCTGTCACCCTGTGAAATTTTTATATTTCTTTTCTTTAACTCTGTGTATGCCAATAGCTCCATTTAGCATCCAAAAGACTAGTTGGTTATACCAAAAGTAATACAGTACCATGTCGAAAACAAGAAGTTTTACAATGGTTTTTCTTTGCTCTCTGTTAGCCTTAGGTCTGATACTCATTTACCTTGTGTGCCACACTGCCTTTCCAAGCCATGTTTGCCAGAGAAGGACCATATCATGACTGAGGTTAAAGTTTAAAATCCCATGAATGTCATTTATTTTCATTCATCTTAGGGCTGAGAGGAGCATGGCAGAGCTCCCTCAGCCACACATACAGATACCAAAGGAAGGCCATGCCCTGCACAGAGGCCATGGGGCATCATGGTGTCCCTTTCCCCCTACAGCCACGTCATGTGCCAGATCCATGCCCAAAACAGCCTCAGTGAAAACTGAGCCCTCACACCTGAGGCTGCATAGGACAGCAAGTTATTTCCATGGCTGCTGCCCTCTCGGGAGTGCTTTCACCCTGTGGCAGCCCCGGGCCAGCACAGGAGCCCACAGTGAACACACCTGCCATGGTCATCCAACAGCAGAATCACGGGATCAGTTAGCTTGGAAAAAGCCCTTCGAGATCATCACGGCCAACCCCTGACCCAACATCACCCTATCAACCAGACCATGGCACTGAGTGCCACATCCAGACTTTCCTTAAACACCTCCTGTTTAAGGTGAACCTGCCAGCAGTCCACTCCAGCATCGAATCACTCTTTTCGTGAAGAAATTCTTCCTAAAGCCCAATCTAAACCTCTGCCGGCACAATTTGAGGCTATATCCTTCATCCTGTCACTAGTTGCGTGGGAGAAGAGGCCGACCCACAGCTGGCTACAATCTCGTGTCAGGTGGCTGTAGAGAGTGATAAGGTCACCCCTAAGCCTCCTTTTCTCCCGGCTAAACAAGCTCTGCTATCCTAGCCGTTCTTCATAGGGCGTATGCTCCCAACCCTCCACCAGCTCCGCCGCCCTTCTCTGGACACAGCACCTCAGTGTCCTCCCCGGAGTGAGGCGCCCAGAATCGGGCACAGCGGTGCCGAGAACAGGGAGAGAATCGCCTCTCTGGTCCTGCTGGCCACGCTATTTCTGGCACAACGGGACGCGGTTTCTCTTTCCGGGAACAGCCCGCGGCCGCAGTGGAGCGGGCCGAGCCCGGCGCCCGGCAGCGCCCCAGC